TTAACATCGAAAACAATGTTGTGAAATTGTAATACGCAATGATTGTAAATATTGTAAATATTGGATTAAAACGTAGTTATTAGCAAACATTCGAGTTAGTTATATGTTATGGATATAATAATGCTATTGGTATAACATTATCGTCGAACTTCCAAATCCCAAATCGTCGAACTTTATATGAACAATTTATTCCACTGCACAATTCAAATCGTCTCCGCAACATAGCATTGTCCTGTGATTGGTAAAGATTCGGCTGGACTTCCTCAGAAATAGAGTCTGCTGGTGTTTCGTCAACAGAAATTATGGCAGGTTCCTTGGCATCTTCGTTCAATGGTGGTGTAATATCGTAAGGTTCATTCGTCCATACGTAACCACGTTTAAGTCTATTTATATGAACTCTATTCTTCAGTAGCTAGTTTCCCGTCAGATTTTCGTCTCAACTTAACGTGTATTTCGGAAAGTTTTTGCGAAATATAATACGGACCAATCCAAGGTCTATTCAATTTTCGTCCAATACCTGCAACAAGAACATGTTTGTATAAATATACAATGTCACCTACATTGAAATTAGGGTTATCTCTGTTTTTATTTGCCTTTTTTAACATCTCAGCTTTACGGATTTCAATTAATTCTTTCGCAATTTTCCTAGCTATTTCAAGTTCTTCAAGTAAGGTGGTAACGTATTCCTGAGCCGTTTTGTTGACATCTAAGTTTGGTAAGTTAGAATCGATCGGATTTTTCGGATGTCGGCCGTACACTAAGAAGAATGGCGAATAGTCTGTTGTATCCACAGACGGCGCTGTGTTATATGCGAATTGAATAAAAGGCAGAAAGTTATGCCAGTTCTTATTATCATCTAAATATTTTGATAACATGTCTTTTACGGATCGCATCATTCTTTCACTTTGACCATTGCACTGTGGGTGGTAACTCGTCGTATGAGTTTTTGTAATTTCAAATAGTTTGCAAGTTTCTCTAACAATGTTCGATAAATAATTGGATCCTCTGTCAGAGTGTAAAAAACTTGGTGAACCATGACGACACAGTACATTCTCTATAAACGCTTTAGCTACTGTTGATGCTCTTATATCTGATAAAGGTATAAATTCAACGTACTTTGTAAAATAGCAAATAAATACAAGCACATATTGATATTTGGACGGTCCACTAACGGGTAACGGTCCCATAATGTCTGTACTGACTCTTTCAAAAGGCATTGATGCTATAGGCATGCTAGATAGCTGAGCTCGTTCAGGATTTGGAGGTTGTTTACGTTCCGAACAAAGTTCACACGACTTTATCCAGTTTTCAATGTCGCTATTCATTAATGGCCAAAAATAAAGACGTTGAGTCCTACGGATAGTTCTACTTATTCCTAAGTGACCAGAAAATAAACTATTGTGGGTTTCTGCTAAAATTGTTGGAACCATTTTTCGTGGAATTGCTAACTGAATATTTGCATTTAAGTCTCTTTGTCCACGATTTGATCGTTTATCAACGTGATATAAAATGTCATCATGTAAGAAATAAAATGGCTGTAGCACTAATACTTTTCTGTGCTTGTCCTTATCTTTAGGTAATCTACCGGTCTCTAAGTAGTCTATGATATATTTATAGTTGTTATCTGCACGTTGTTCAGATTTTATTTCAGTCGTTGAGAATAAATTATCAGCATTAGCACGAATGGCTCTGCACTGTTTCGCTGATTGACAGGCAATTTTACGAACAGGTGGTGAAAATATCGGATTTGATGATTCTTTTGTATTTAATTGTTGAGTCTCGTGTATTTGATATGATGGTAATATATTCAAAAGACTTTCGTTGTCGACGAGGTCATCATCCGGTGAATCAACATATGGGGGTCGCCACAGTACCTGTGACAGGAAAACATTTGAGAACATCGTTCCCCTCACAAGTAGCTACCGCATCGTCTACAATTCTATATCTAAAGTTCAAGTGATGGTTCAGGGAGAAAATCCCTTGTTGTTTATTCTGAGAACCAATTACAATGAGATGATAGTTTGTTTAATATAAATTTTTTTAGAAATATCTCCATTATCATCCAGGATATCATTCATATAAAGTATATTATTTTTGATCCATTGATTATAGATTAGACATTTACCATTTAATTTATGTATTTGTTTCCCCATATTATTTGTTTTCTTATTTCAATAAAATTATTTGGATTTTTTTCTGTTATACTGTTTTTCGATTTCACCCAAGTTTTAATAATTTCTAAGTAAAAGGGTGTACATTATTTTTTAAATTCTCTATATCTTGTGTTTTATCTATGTTCATATAGAAAATTAAGTAATTTTTTCCCAGTTTATCAAAGTAGAACTGAGGAATAACTTTCCAGTTCGGTAACATATCATCATTGTTAACTAATCTTTTAATCCAATTTATTTTTAATGATTCATTAAATATATATTTATCTATATCAATCTTGTTCAATCCTCCGTTAGCATAATTTGTACAAACAACAGATCTTTTAACCTTTTCTCTTTTATTGTCCTAGATAAAGTTAAATATTATTTTTTTAAATTTTGATATGTAGTCTTTATCAATATTGATTACTGATGCTAAAAAGGTTAAGTTTGGAATTATTAAAGACTCTACAACAATTATTCTGCTTAAGATAGTAAGTTGTCTTTTAGACCAATCTTTGATAATTTTTCCTGATTTAGTTAACTGTTTTTCTAAGTTTAGTTTTTCACATTCAATCTTGTTATGTCCAAAGTAAACTCCTAAGCATTTTATTGGCTTTGTTGACCAGTTTGTATTTTCATATTTATCTCTACTACTTTTCAGATTTCCTAGCCAAATACCTTCTGTTTTATCTCTATTCAGTTTAAGACCAGATAAAGAACCAAATATCTCTATTATATTAAGGGCTAATTTAATTTCTTGCTTAGATTCAACAAAAATTGTTGTGTCATCTGCTAGCTGACTTAATTTCAAGCTATGTGTTTTATTATCTAATTTGATTGGTATGCCTTTTATATTGTTGTCTTGTCTTAATCTACATGCTAAGATTTCTACTGCCATCACGAAAATAATGTCGCTGACTGGTCAGCCTTGTCTAATCCCCCTATGAATGTCAAAGGGCGCAGAGATCCAACCATTATTTGTAACACATCCTTTAATATTTGTATATAAAGTCTGTATCCAATTTATAATAGAATTTTGTAGACCTAATTTTCTTAGTGCACAGTACATAAACTCCCATTCTAAGGAATCGAACGCTTTTGAAAAGTCAAGAAATAAGATTGCTCCATCTACATTGAATTTATCAGAATAATCAATTATATCTTGAATCTGTCTAATATTAAACCCTATATATCTATTCTTCACATAGCCATTTTGGTCACTATGAATAATTTTGTGAAGTACTGGTTTTAATCTTTGAGCTAATGAAATAAGCTATTATTTTATTATCTACATTTAACAAAGTTATTGGTCTGTAGTTATCAAGATTAAGTTGATAATTTTTTTTTATAAATAATATTTATAAGTCCGATCTTTTGATTGTCTGTGAGTTCTTTTTTTTTCATAGCATTTATTAAGCACAAAAACTGCAAAGTTTTTAATATATGGCCAAAAGGTCTTAAAAAACTCTAATAATCTAATTTAATTTCATATTGAAAACTGATTTTGTACATTCATCTATTGATAGCTTTCCTTCTAATTCCTTACTTTCTTCATTAGATAGAGTAATCATTTTTAGTTCCCTCAACATACTCTTGTATATCTTTTACATCTGGTTTTTTGGATGCATATAAATTTTGATAATATTCTTTTTCTATTTCTAATATTTTACCCTGATCATCTGTTATTTTGCCTTGGTAATAGTTTTCAAGATAATAGGTAGAACACTAAAAATGGGTAAAAATCGTCATTAGAGAACAATAACTCCAACAAGGAGTGAACTGATCATTACAGCCAGTAGACTTGTTTGTAGATCTTGTCTTGCTGATTATGTTTGCTTTTCTAAGTTTCTATCTATTCATTATACTTTTTTTTCGGATATCATGCAAAAACACAAAAAAAAATTGGTAAAAATCATCATTAAAGGGTAATAACTCCAACAAGGGGTCCTCAAATGATTTCAACCATGTTTACTTATTTGTAGACCTTGTCTTGCTGATCATTTTTGCTTTTTTAAGTTTCTATCTATCTATTATAGTTTTCAAATATTAAGCAAAAACGCAAAAATATTGGTAAAATTCATCATTAAAGGGTAATAATTCCAATAAATGGGTCGTCTGACAATTTCAACATGTTCACTTATTTGTAGATCCTGTCTTGCTGATCATGTTTGCTTTTTAAGTTTTTATCTATCTATTATAGTTTTTCAAATATTAGACATAAACGCAAAAAAATGATAAAAATCGTCATTAAAGGGCAATAACTTCATTAACAAGTCGTCTGACGATTTTGACAATGTTTGACGTATTTGTAGATCTTGTCTGGATGATCATTTTTGCCATATAAAGTTTCTATCTGTCTATTATAATTTTCAATATAATAGGAATAAATGAAAAAAAGGTAAAATTTGTCATTTAAGGGTAATAACTCCCATAAGAAGTCGTCTGACAGTTTTGATGTTTATAGACAAAAGGTAGATCTCATCATTTTGCCATGTCAGAGTTTCTATATTAATAGCGGTTTTCAAGATAATGGATAAAACTTGCATTTTACCCCTATGTTATATTTTTAGCCATGTCAGCCATTTTTTATGACAAGCAGGGTCATCGGACACATTTTTTTTTAAATAAGATACTTTAATGATGATTGTGGCCAAGTTTGGTTAAATTTGGCTCAGTAGTTTCAGAAGATATGATCTTTGAAATGAGACGACGACGACGACGGACCACGGACGCCAAGTGTCAATATTTTAAACTTTTTATCATAATCAAAAGCAATAAAAGCGTATACAGGTTTTGAAAAGTAAGAGAACAAAATAACCAAACAATAAATTCAGATGATTCTTATCTTTAATTTATAATCTCAGTTGTAGATACAGGTATTTCCTGATGTTCTCTACATTTGAACATATTTTTCAAAGCATCTCTCAGTTTTTCACCCATGACTATATAGATAAAAAAGTTTGAAGCACAGCCAATGATCATTGACAGTTTTAAAATTTCAGTGAGAAGTTTTAAATGTTCCAAGTTAATATCAATATGTCCCCAGATAATGTTCAGTATGTAGTTCATTGTTTCACTGTACGGCGAAGAAACAAGTACCACAACAGAGTTTCCAAATTTCTCGGTTTTACGATCATAACATTTGATTAAATTTTCTAAAAACGACATGTTATTTGATACTATACTGCAATATGCGATTAATGTATAATCAGAAATGGACTGCTTGTACAATTTAATCTTTTCCTTTACACGAAAAGTGTAAACATCAACAAAGTCGTCAATTAGACATTCATAATACGTTTGTTTCAATTGATCTTTATAAATTATATCGACCGAAAGCCGCGCAGCTTCTTCCGATTGTTCTTTGTCAAATATAGACAATGATTTTTCCACATGATTTATCATATTTTTTTTATAAAGTGGTGACAGTCCATTAAAATCAGAGAAGCATGACTCCTCTGAGATATGACTCAGGCTATTTTCAAGACATGCTGAATACATTTGATAAAACTCGGTCGTCAGTTTCTGTAAGGCAACATTCTGCATGTCCGAATTGGATTTATTCTGCATTTCCAAATTGGATTTATTCTGCATGTCCAAATTGAATTTATAGGTACTAAATAGAGTTAAGTTAACATAAAGCCTTGGGACTTCTGCGAGAAAAAAGACTGTCATGACGCACACAATTAATATGGAAGATTTTTTTTCAGCTCTGGAAGTCGTGGCATGTCCACGGACACGTTTCCGTCGGCACAGTATATATATGATATAGCATGTTGATATAAGCATTGTTAATACTGCAACAACCAATATAATGGAGTACATAATCGGATAGTATGATAGAATATACTTCTGAATAGTACGTTGTGGTTCGGAGACTAAACATACATCTCCTTCCTTCCCACGACTGAAGCTAATTACGGATAATCTTGGCACGTTTACGGCCAGAGTAAACAAAAAACACGTACAGCAAACAATGCAAGATTTTCGTTCATTGATCTGAGTTTTGCTCCATATTGGACGTGCCACAGCCAGGATTTTCTGTAACCCAAGAGACGATGTTAACAGTATAGACACAAGGTGGAATGTGTCTCCTAGGTTTGTAAGACAGTAATGCATTAAACAGTACGGAAACTTTAGTCCAACTAGCCTATTGAATTCTTGTATCTGTGTATCTTTTATGTTATTAATACTGTAAGTATCATTTCCTATCTCTTCATAATGCAAATTAAAAAAAGGTTCAAATCCATAGGTACAAAACGCAGTGAGTCCGTCTGCCAGAGCTAGTCCTTGCATTAGTACTGTTGTAGGTGACCTTATCTTTTTATGAAATAAAGCCACAAATATAATAATGTTCATCACAATGGAAAGGTATGAAATTATTGGCCCTACCACAATATTCATCCAAAATGGAGTTCGTGCGTACAGTATGAACAACATGTTGACAAATGAATTTTTCACTGAATAATAAAATACATTAAAATAATTTAGATTAAAATTCAAGATAAGAAAACACTTATCAAATTGAGGAACAAAATATGATTCTTTTTAAGTGGCAGGATGTAAGTAGGAGGTATGGTTAAGATTTTGAAAATGTTTCAATAAATTGTAATAAGCGGCTATGGAAGAGTTTGAGATACAAAATGTGTACCTCCAAATAATACAATGGTAAAGTCATGATGTGGTAGGAAAAAAAAAAAAAGATTTAGGTCAAAAAGTAAAATAGGAGGCTCACAATGGCATTACGTCATGAAAAAATCCGTAAAAGTTTGATTGACATCCATTTACTGGTTAAGAGGAGTTGCAGATGTGGGATGTTATAATACTAATATGAAAGGGAAAAGTCCACGTTTATGTATGGGAAATCCCAGAAATCATTCTGATCAAAAAGTAAATTACCAGATACACAAGTACACTACGTAATGAAAAATACAAGAAAGATTCCATGAAGAAATTGATCTGGACGGACGAACGGACACCCCAATCACTATATAAAGGCAACAGTAGTATACCGCTGTTCAATAGTCACAAATCGATTTAACTGAAACAAACCCTTCTCACAAACCAAAAGCGAGGGAAACACATCAACTATAAGCGGAAAACAACGGAACAAAATTAACACTGAACTGCTACAAAAACAAACGCCAACATACATAGAAACGGACTATTTGATAACAACTGCCATATTCTTTACCTGGTACTGGACATTTTAAGAAAAAAATGGTGGGTTGAACCTGGTTGTATGGCTAGCCAAACCTCCCGCTTATATGGCAATGTTAAAAATACCGCTAAAATGACAACATTACGTGACAGGAATACATTACAACTAAAAGCAAGAACACTCAGGACAGAGACATACATAAATAAATAATATAATAGTACATTACAACATGTAAACCACAGAAAAACAACGGACACCTCTCATTTACACCACAATAGAATTATGAACTGTAAGTCACACGAATGAATCAACGCCATAAAAAGTGACGTCACAGATAAATTTCTAAAAACAGAAGATAACATTGGGATTAAGTTTGTAATGGTGTTATCTTATGTATTTTGTAACCATTACAAGAATATTAATATCGAATAGTGTTAGTAATGGTGTAATTATTTGTATTTTCTAACCATGTCGGTTTTTTCTTCTAAATCAAAACTGTAAACAGTGGTGGATCCAGAAATTCTCATAAGGGGGCCCACTGACTGCCTAAGAGGGGGCCCGCTCCAGTCATGCTTCAATGATTCCCTAAATAATCAACCAAATTTTTCCCACAAAAGGAGGGGGGCCCGGGCCCCCTGGAAAACCCTCTAAATCCGCCTCTGGTAAACACAAATCCTGTGCATATAGTGTAATAACTGGCCTGACAGGTGTCTCTTTAACTATGCGGCCACCACCTGCGTTTACAGGTACACAGGGGACCTTAATAGACTAGAAATAGCTCGTCTAAGACAGAGAATGGTTTAAACACGGTGTTCTATCTTTATTATTTAGTTAGATGTAATTATCTCATGGGGAGGAATTTTTAACTAGGTCAAAGGGGTCAAAACACCTCGGAAATATTTAATCTTAATATCAAAACAAGTGAATAACTCAAATAGGGGGGGGGGATGAAAAGGGTTATGAATATTCAAATACGCTCTAGTCTGTGGAAATGAACACACTCCTGTCGTGTAGTTTATAGAACAGATTGTCTCTGTAAGGTAGAGGATGAATCACAAAACACCTTACAATATAAATAAAAAGATGTGGTATGAGTGACAATGAGACAAATATAGATTTATTTCGTCTTCAAGCCATTGTTCCACAACTAAACTGTCTATTCTACTTACTAGTACACTTGGTACAATCAAAAACCTGGTAATAAATTGTTCAAGTAAGGTCTTTGAAAATAGTGGAATTAATTACTTTTGGAGTGTTAAAATTCGTTGGAAGTACTTGATAAATTGCATGCATTGAGGTCTGGAGCTGGCATGTCAGTAACTGCTAGTAGTCTGTTGTTATTTATGTGTTATTGTCATTTTGCTTATTTTCTTTTGTTTCCTATTCTGACATCGGACTCGGACTTCTCTTGAACTGAGTTTTACTGTGCGTACTGTTGTGCGTTTGTTTTTTCTACATTGGCTAGAGGTATAGGGGGAGGGTTGAGATCTCAAAAAACATGTTTAACCCCGCCGCATTTTTGCGCCTGTCCCAAGTCAGGAGCCTCTGGCCTTTGTTAGTCTTGTATCATTTTTAATTTTAGTTTCTTGTGTATAATTTGGAGTTTAGTATGACGTCCATTATCACTGAACTAGTATACATATTTGGTTAGGGGCCAGCTGAAGGACGCCTCCGGGTGCGGGAGTTTCTCGCTCATTGAAGACCCATTGGTGGCCTTCAGCTGTTGTCTGCTCTATGGTCGGGTTGTTGTCTCTTTGACACATTACCCATTTCCATTCTCAATTTTATTGTATTGGTGATTTCGAATCTGTTCAAAGTTTTAATTTTTCTACCCTATATACCACTTTGCCTCATAATCTTATTAAGAAAAATTCACACACCTAATTAAATGGGCATTTAAAAATCAGAATGCGAATATATATGTTCTAACTGTTTTAGGTAATTTTTTAGTAACAACAGACAAAAGAACTATGTCAATTCATGGAAGTAATATTTAAATATTACTTCCATGGTCAATTGGACCTGCTTTGATACGATAACTGCCCCTGAATTTTTACTAGATAATATTTTTGTTCGCTATGGAGATTCCTTATATCGTCAAGTTATCGGAATTCCCATGGGGACTAACTGTGCACCACTTATTGCGGACCTGTTTCTGTATTGTTATGAGTTACAACTTATGACTAAAACCAGCAAAGACCCATCGAAACAACATCTGATACAAACATTTAATTACACTTATAGATATTTGGATGATATATTGGCTCGCAATAATGACGACTTCAGTATGTACACTAAAGAGATTTATCCTGCTGAACTGATTTTAAATAAAGCTAACACTGACAATGAACACTGCCTTTTCATGGATCTTGATATCTATATCTTTAACGGGAAGCTTAATACCAAAAAAGATGGTTTTTCATTTCCTATTGTTAATTATCCATTTTTAGATGGTGGCGTTCCCTTGTCACCATCTTATGGTGTTTATATATCTCAACTTGTTCGATTCGCTCGTGTATGTAACAACGTATTTCATTTTAACGAAAGAAACCTCTGTATTACTGAAAAATTATTACACCAGGGTTTTCGATATCACAAACTAGACAAAACATTTACTGAATTTTATCATCGATACAAGGACATCATTCGTTAATATAAATCAACATGCAGACATCTTATACGTTTAGGTATTTCACATCCAATCTTTTATGGTAATATTCTATACAAAGCACAAAAATGTCGACATTCACCTCAAAAGCTAACCAAACCTTTTGACAGACTTATTCAGAAGGGATATAGTTACGATACTGTTGTCAGGTCATTAAAGATGGCATATTTTGGTATTAATATTGATTCACTCATAGGGTCTTTGTATCGGAAATAAACACATTTATTCTAAAACCAGTTGTTGGCATGATACGGGTTATATTTTTCTCATATATTTTATGAAGGTATGATATTAAACCCATAAAGGGAGGGATTGTGCTTGATTTTCATATGATGAAGAAATAATCTTTCAATCAGTTTAATTGAGGTCTGGAGCTTGCATGTCAGTAACTGCTAGTAGTTCTTTGTTAATTTATGTATCATTGTCATTTTGCTTAATTTGTTTTGTTACCTATTCTGACATCGGACTCGGACTTCTTTTAAACTGAGTTTTACTGTGCGTATTTGTGTGTGTGTTTGTGTATTCTACATTGGCTAGAGGTATAGGGGGAGGGTTGAGATCTCACAAAACATGTTTAACCCCGCCGCATTTTTGCGCCTGTCCCAAGTCAGAAGCCTCTGGCCTTTGTTAGTCTTGTATGTTTTTTTAATTTTAGTTCATTTTTAAGTTTTAGAGTTTAGTGTGACGTCCATTTTCATCGAACTAGTACACATTTTTGTTTAGGGGCCAGCTGAAACCCGCCTCCGGGTGCGGGATTTCCTCGCTGTGTTGAAGACCCATTAGTGGCCTTCGGCTGTTTTCTGCTCTTTGGTCGGGTTGTTGTCTCTTTGACACATTCCCCATTTCCATTCTCAATTTTATTAGAGTGTTTCAAATATCTGTTGGGGTCACTAAAATATCCCAGCTTTTTACAAAATTGATGTTATGATAGTGTAAATAAAATTGAGAATGGAAATGGGGAATATGTGTACTGGTTTAGTGAAAATGTACGTCACACTAAACTACCTTCTTTTATGATTAAAAAAAAGTCATTTAAATCAAGGAAGGGTATGTATTTATTAATTTGTCTTTAAGAAACAAACACAAACACCTTTCAGAAAGATTGTTTTTCCATTATCTTGAAAAGAGATACATCTTTGTATTTACTATAGAATTCTGTGTAAATTTTTATATTTAGAACTTGACAGGTACAGTACATGTATAAAACCTTCATCATTTATCATAATTCACCGAAACTGCTCAAGACATTTCTTAATTCCTGTCTGACAATGTTAACAAAATCTGTAAGTATTATTTTTTGGTATATGGTTGGACTTTTTTTCTATTTCAAACTGTTCCTTTTGTTCTGAAGGTAATGCAGCAATATTTTCTTCAATCATTGCAAGCAGCTGTAGTTTCGTTTTGTTTTTACCTTTGCTAAGTTCGTTTTCTTCCATTGTAGATATTGGATTTTTTTTATATTTTAACGGACTCGGATATTTGCCAATCTTAATGAAATAATTTATGATGCTATCCATGTTTATGTGCGATAAGGACGTGAACTTTGATATGTTTTGTGAAAATTGTTGGATCTAAACCTGTATATCTCTCTCATTTATT